GGAAAGGAAGGAAGGAAGGAAAGAAGGAAAAAAGAAAGAAAAGATAAAAAGAAAAAAAAGGAAGAAAGAGGAAATAAAAAGAAAGGAGAGGAAGAAAATTGGTAAAGTTACCTTGATTTTTGGGGGGCCTTGAAAAATCACTCGGAAATTCTCTTTTAATTGCCGAAATAACCAAGAAATTCCCATAGATACTTTAAGTGCAGGCAATTCTTTTTCTGTGTCTAAACATATAATAGCACATAGGACTTGTAGAGAAAGCTTATAACCAATTCTGGCTTGAACTGAAGGATCAAATACACAGGTCAATCAACAAAACAACATGGCATTTAATGAAATGGCTTTTCAAAAAGTTCAGAATAGCTGCTTCTCATGTATAGAACAACTCCCCAGGGCAGTATCAGCTCCTCACCCCATGCATATTCTGTGTTCTTCAGATCCAAGCAGATTAATATAAATTAAAATGCATGCAAAATCATTCTAGACCATGAGCATGCAGTTGCATTTTCCTGTTAATCACTAAAAAGGCTATTTTAATGAGACATTTGGCTTCTGTCCTAAGCCCCAGAGGTATCTATAGTCCATCCCTGCCACACAGGATCAGAGGTAGCTGTGAGCAGATGGCCTCAGAATTGCTCTAGCCTTTTACCTTTTGCAAGAAGTGGAACTGAGGTATTGCTTCAGATCATGGGACCACAATGACAGGAAGTCCTGGAGAAGTTGAGACTCTCAGACTCCCACTGATGCATGACAAACCAGCATTTAAACCATTGGAGTGTAGCATCTACTCTATTGGTCTTCAGTGATGGTCCATATGGTACAACCTTTCTTAGTCCCCCCTCCCATTCCCGCCATGTTCAACCTTCTGAAGTCAGCCCATGTGTGAAGGCCCGAAGCTTTCACTGTCAATGTCCACTATCAATAGGGAATGTTGGAGAGAAGCAAGGTCCCAGCATGCTTTTCTGGAGATTTTGCCAGCTATCCTTACCCATTACCTTCCTGTCTTTAGTACTATGTCCAGAATTTCTAAATCTTAGTTTTGCAAAATTGGCCAAATCCTGTCCCTAAAGGGACAATAATGCTGAGGTGACCTCCAGTGGAATTTTAGTATTGCATTTTCTTTTTAGCCAGGTGTGAAAAGGTTCTGCAGGTGGCATAGAGCAGTGTCATGGTGAATGATGTTATTGGCTAGTCCTGGTGACACTGAGGAGAAGATGAGTGATAGAGACAGCTCTGATGCCATTCTGGCTCTATATTGGGGCTAGGAATGTGGCTTCATGGTAGAGTGCTTGCCTAGCATGCAAGAAACCCTGGGTTCAATTCCTCAGTACCACCCAGAGAGAGAGAGAGAGAGAGAGACAGAGACAAAGAGACAGAGATAGAGACAGAGACAGAGACAGAGACAGAAAGAAGGCCAGAAGTGGCGCTGTGGCTCAAGTGGCAGAATGCTAGCCTTGAGCAAAAGAAGCTCAGGGACAGTGCCTATGCTCTGAGTTCAAGCCCCAGGACTGGCACAAAAAACAAAGTCTGGCTCTATATCCTTGCCCTTGGCTATACCCAGAGAAGTCCAATTACATTGGCCACGTGAAGATAGGCCACCTCCTGACACACAGGGAGTCTAGAGGCTCCAGAAAGAGTCTCCATAGTATGTGGTCTCCCTCTCCCTGAGTAAATGATCACTTGATGGGATTTGGCCCTTCACCCTCCCCACCCCCTTTGCTTGCTGCTCATATCTAGGACTTGGCAGTCAGTTATCTACATCTCACTCCCATGGCACAGGATGTCAATGAGACTCTATTACTGTTCCTGTCCTAGCTAAACTAGCATATGTCTGCCCACAGGTCAGTCTCAATTGACACATTTCCTTTTTCTCAGATGTCATCGGGAGTGAGGTAGAGACCAGACTTTGGGTTCAGAGTATCAGAACAACAGGGCACATTTCAATCTAGTGCCTCTAGGAGAGAGAATAAGATGTGAACACAGGTGTCTTCATACATGTGGGGTCTGATGAGTCCACAAAAGGTACAGGATGTCCTGAGACTACAGAAGGCCTCACAAAATACAGGCTCTTAAAGCGTGATTAGCATCTCAATGTTAGAATTGTATGGCTTGGGCTGGGGGTTTAGCCCAGCGGAAGGGTGCCCTCCTGGCATGCGCAAGGCCCTGGGTTCGGTCCTCAGCCCTGGAAAAAAAATAGACTTGTATGGCTGCTTCACAAGAAGACAACCACAAAGATGAACTAGTGTCAGAATGACTTCTTGGCCAACAGCTCCAGTACAGGTCCCATGGAAAACTGGAAGCTGGGAAGCCAGGGGGCAATTGCATGGGGAAGCATTTATTGCAAGCACAAGCCAGGTGGGGGGGTGGGGGGTGAGGTTTGGGGGACCACCCACCTGAGCAGAAAAAACAAGAGGCTCATGGCCAAACCCCATAGCATGCAGGGCTGATGTTTGGGGGGCATACGCTGGGGCCAACGACTCAGGGTTTGTTGGTAATACAGGTGTGTGGCTTTCTTTCTCCCTTATACCAAGTGAAGGGCTTGTTCAGAGAATGACAATGGGCCTGTTTAGGCAGAAGGGAAGTGTTTAGGAAAAAAGCTTTCTCTCTCATTGATAGAAGGACCATGGAGAAGTGGCTTAGAGTGGGTGACTGTGCGGTGTACTGAACACCACATTGAAGAGCTGGGACACTTCTGGGTAGCAGGGGAAAGCCCAGGAGAGGCCAAGCTACAGAGGACAAGGACCAGGTGGCTCTGGGAGCTGAAAGAAGGGTTTGCTTCCGAGAAGCAGCATCCATGTCACCATGATGGAGAAGCTGAGGCCCCAGGAGTGGGGATAGAACTCATTGTGCTGAAACCTACTTTCAGAGTGAGGGTCGTTTGCCATAGAAGGGAAGGCATGGGGATGGAGGGAAGGGTCACACATTCCATACTCTTGTAGGAGCTGATGACAGAGCTGACTGGGATGTGGTGAGTGAGAGAGAAGTTGAAAGAACATTCTAGGAATGATCTCTGAGCAAGACTACCCCAAGTCTGGGTCATATGTCCAGGTCAGTTGTAACCTGCTTATTCTCTTATCTCTTCCTTCAAAAAGGAAAATAAACACTGTAGCATTATGCATTCGGTTTGTCTTGTTTGGTCTTCTGATTTGCAACAGCATGCCATCCCTGAGCTGTGGTGCCTCCCATCTCTCAAGGCCCTATCACCCTTGCAGAGTGGTCTGTACTTTCTTCTTACACATGACCTTTTTAAAAAAAATTTTTATTGTGAAAATACCATACAGAGGGGTTACAATCACATGGGCAAGATAGTGAGTACATTTCTTATCAAGCATTGTAGCCTCCTCCTTTGTTTCCCCTTCCCATCCCTTCCCCTTTCCACCCCCCTCCCCCGCGCAACCACCCCCCCCACTCACTCCCCCTTCCACCCCCCCTACCCCCCCCGCCAAAGTTGTAAAGTGTTTTTCGACATAACAACTTGTACATCTCATTGTTGTAATGGAGCCACCTGTATCCCTATTTAAACAATTTGTTTTTTCCCTTCCCCTCTACAAATTATACCAACATCAAATACAGTGAAAGAAGGGGTTATACCGTGGGGGAGGGACATACAAAGCAACAAAGAAATCATCTTATAAATATAAATATGACAACAAATGACCTTTTTTAAAAAAAACTTAAATAGGGTCTCCCCCAACCTCAAAGTCACTTGTTATATAAGGGTTTTCTTCTATCAGTCTCCAATTCATCACACAAAGGTGCTAAGGTTAATAAAGGAGAAGATAACTCTGCACCAGATGGAGGCCCCAGTGTCTATGCACTGATGTAAAAGTAGCAAGCATTTAAGACCATGTGTTGAATGAAGGAAATTCTAGGTTCCATCTAGAGTTCTTCAGGAAAAGCATGCTGTCAGTGAGAACTAGTGCTCTGCTGGGCTTGTTTTGCAGCACACATCACTTTTATTGAGCATTCAGCCTCTTGAACCAGCCACAGATATAGAAAAAAAGTCAGCAATACAAATGCTTTCATTTTGAGGATTGTCCCATTTTCTATTTAAAACTTAGTCAAGTGTGGTGGTACATGCTTGTAATAACAGCTAATGCAGTGTCAGAGGTAGGGGAATCACAGTCCTAGGCCTGTCTGAGCAAAAACAGAGAGCCTATCTGAAAAATAACTAAAGCAAAAAGTGCTAGGATATGGCTCAGGTGGTAGTGTCTGCCTACCAAGTTCAAGGCTATGCATTCAAACCACAGTACTGTCAAGAGAGGAAAGTAGGGAGGGAGTGAGAAAGGAAAGGAGGGAAGAGGAAGAGAGGAAGAAAGAACTATCAGCTTGTCCTGAGTGATGCTCTCTGCATGAGCTATCTTTGAAGAGTGTAGCCAGGACAGTGGCCATGATGAGCAGCGACTGCCCAACTGTGTCCCCATCCTTCCTTTTCTCTTTGAGGATTTGGTAGAAACCATAGTGGAGTGAGCTAAGGTATCAGCCTGACAAGAGAAGGGAAATCAACAGAAACAGGTGTACTCTGCTTCTGCAGGCTTCCACTGGTCCTCAGAGTTGCCTGGTGTTTTCTGTGAAGCAAGGGTCCTGAGGTGCTGGCCTCGTAAAACTCACCCAGCCCATGAGGAGAGCACTTTACCTGCAGTGTGGTACTGGGTTCCTACACGTGCACTTAAGTCCAGTCCCACAAACTGGGATATCATAGGAACTAGGATAGTTTAATCTCTGGGGGATAAGATGGCCCACATCGTGGCTAAACCTAGGTCTCCCAATGGTGTCCAGTGGAGTGTTGCTGGTGATAATAGCCTTGTGCTCATATGTGAGCTCAGATGGCTGGGCAGACAAGTCACTGTGTGCAGAGCTTGTCCCATGTAAGGTACTCTACGGTGTTACCAAAGAAGCACAGCTAGTGTGCCATGATATCCACAGTGTACACAAGGTTCTCCATGCTGCTCATGATCAGTCTACAGCCAGGCCGTTCACCATTTCTGTTTCTTCCTTTCCAGTTACATTACAGCAGTTCTCACTGGCACTGCAGAGCTGTCCTGACCCCATGGACCAGGCTTTGTTAATGAAGGTAGGTTATCAGATAAAGCACTCATTTCCTTAAAGCATCCTGGCATTTGTATTGCCCGGAGGAGAGTTCTGTTCTTACAAGCAGGAGTAAATTTATCATCTCTGAATTTTGTGCTCCGTGGGGATGCACTTGTCATGGGCGGGTGGGGGGAGTGTTGCTGGCTAATGAGCCCCTGGCCGTCCATAGAGTGCAGAAGTGACAGGAAAGTGGGTGTCGACTACTAGCAGGGAATCTGCTGTATTCTCAGAGGGCTCCACTGCTTCTTTTTAAACTTCTGTGACAGTAGATTTATGAGGCTTGGCCAAATTCCATGTCTCCCACTATACTTTTTAATTAAGACAAAAGATTCCACATGCTCTGAGCCTACCACTTCCTCACATTTGTCACCAGAGGGAATGTTGCACAAATTGGACCACTCATACTAACCACTGGGATGGCCATTTTGTGTCACAGGTTCCTTGCCCTTCACTAAAAGACAAACTTCTTTTCTTCTCAGTAACAATCATTTTATTTCCTTGCAAATGAAACAAGTACAGCTATTTAGGATGTGCCTACAGTGAGCCACAGTGTGGAAAAATCTGGCAGTTGGCCTCATGCATTTAACCAGAACAGTGTCACGGAAGGCAGAAAGCAATAGGTAACAGCAAATTCCTGAGGTTCACACACACACACACTCACACTCACAAACACACACACACACACACACACACACACACACACACACTTTCCCACTGGTGATTAAATCTCCTGTTGTCACCTAAAAACCCTCTAGGCTGACCCTGGCACACATACGTTTCCATGATGTCATTTCCATTCAGCACCACTGAGAAATGGTGTGCGCCAAGGATTGTGTTTCTTTACCCAAGCCCAGTTTTTTTTTTTTTTTTAACCAGGTGTCCTCTGTCTTTAGAAATGGGTGGAAAAAAATAGGTGTCCCCATAAGGGATCTTCAGCTGATTTGCCTAAGAGGGGTTATTTTTGGTCTGACATTATTTTAAGCTTTCAGTGATGTTAATTTTAAAATAAAGAAGTGTTGCTGGGCATGAGTAACTCATGCCTGTAATCCAGCTACTCAAGAGGCTGAGATCTGAAGATTGAGGCTCAAAGCCAGCCTGGGCAGGAAAGTCCATGAGATTCTTATCTCTAACCATCAAAAAGCTGCAAGTGTAACTATTGCTCTAGTGATAGTTAGTCTGCATGTGTTTTTGTGCTACCTGTGAGCACAAAAGCACAGAACAATGCACAGGTCCTGAGTTCAGGCCCCAGAACTGGAACACACACACACACAAACACACACACACACACACACACATACACACACACACACACACAGAAGAAATGTTGAGTTCATCTTAGAGACCTGTTTCATCTGAGTCTTGGGTTCCTAGTACACTGTGTTGGCCTAACAGTGATTCAGGCATATGAACAATTCTTGCTATTTTGATTCTCACACCAGTCTCCTTGTTCTCTGCCCCAAGTTCCACTCCTCCAAGCACCATTCCTGCTGGCACAGGCTGGCTTTCTATGACCCAGCCTGGAGCCCCAGATACCCTCCTCTACCTTCTTGCATATTCAGGGTGATGAGGACGCAGGGGTTTGAGTTTTTCTTTCCATTCCATCGAGCATTTTCGTCTACCACTTGTTCTTACTTCTTTTTGTTCCCCTCCTTCTGTCCACTGTGACCCATTTTCAGAGGTGATGCTCCTGAACCCCACATGGTACTACCAGCAAGCCCCACTTGGAGTTTATGTGGGTGGAGAGATCAGAGCTTGCTCTGCTTTGCTTATAGTTACAGGACTTAGGTCACCACAGTCCCTCTCTAAGTGTCTTCTCATCTAGAGAGAGTGTTGGGGAATGGATGCTACTCTAAATCTCTTGTTCTCCCCCAGACTCATCCCCAGGCTGCTCCTATGCTGGCCTGGGATGGCTTTTCCTGTATGCTTGGTTTAAAAACTACCATTTGACCTTGAGAGAGGAAGGTTAAGACAGACTGAGATGGCATTGAATGTACATGACATTCAGTACTTTGTGACTTCCCCCTTGTTTTTTAAGACTGCGTGACCACAGTAACTGGGGGTGTTTTCACAATATTTGCAGATATTTGAACAGGCATCATCAAAGAAGTTTCACTCAACAAAAGTGGGTGCTCAGTTCATCTACATCGAAACTATTTTCTGATTTTTTTTTCAGGAGATTGAGGTTCTTTTCATGTCATGTGTGAGAGTCTTCATACTATGATAGTGCTGTACAGGACTCATGTGGACATGTGTAAGAGACCTCAGGCTTACAGTAGATCATTTGGTCTATAGTCTATCTGCTGTTGATTGTTATTTTTGTTCTCATACACTTGACAGATTACCTACCATCAATGTAGGTATTTAACTCAATCTCCTGAAAGTTCAGTGGAGGTTAACTAACAGATCTAGGTCAAATTTGTTATTTTAAAAAATCACATTTTTGGCCTGGTGCTGGTGGCTCACCTCTGTAAATCCTAGCTACTTAGGAGGCTGCAATCTGAGGATCATAATTCAAAGCCAGCTCAGGCAGGAAAGTCCATCAGACTAATATCTCTAGATAACTACCAAAACAACAACAAAAAAATCAGAAATGTAACTGTAGATCTAGTGTAGAAAAAAAGCTAAGAGACAGTACCCAGGTCCTGAGTTTCAGTCTCAGTAACAACACAGAAAAAATCATATTTTACATGTATATCATTGTGTCCTACGTTGCCAAAGATAAATTGAAACCTAAGGATGGATACTTTGCTCTAGTCCATGAGGGTGCTCTGCACACAGACTGCAGGCAAGATGGAAGAGATAACAACACAGTGAAGCAGATGGTTAAACTACTGAAGCCAGGACCCACTGGAAAACCAGAAGCCATGAGACTTGGGATTCTAAAGGCCAGAATCCTTTCCTGATAACCAGGATGAGCAGGAAAGAGGAGACAAGGTAAATCACCACCATCACATGGGTAGTTAGAAGATGGGAAAACAGAACAGAGAAACAGGATCCTGGACCCTTAAACTGGGCTTCTCACAGGGACAGCCATTCAGATAGGTGAAACCGCAGATAAGTACCGCCCTCCTTCCACACCTTGATGAGAAGGCTGGAAGGCTAGGCTGTTGGTGGAATGTATCTAAATATCATGGAGAGCTAGCTTCTCTGTGACTCAGTTTTCCCATCTACTAAGCAGAGGTCAGGGAGGATACTGAATTACTTAGGGGGTTTTCCCACCACCGCAGCCCTGTGAAGGAGCTACGGAAGAGACACTGAGCTTTGGGACTGCTGCTCCTAGTGGGTCTCTTTCAGTGAGATCTCACAAAAAATATTTAGCCTCCATAATTAAATTACTAACTTTGTCCTGTTTACTCTTTTATTTTTTAATAAGTTTTTTATTATGAAAATACTGTACAGAGGGGTTACAGTTACATGAGCAAGGGAATGAGTACATTTCTTATCAAGCATTGTTGCCTCCTCCTTTGTTTTTCCATTTACTTGTTATCTCTTGTTTCGTCACTCTCTCCTAGGCCTTTGGCCAGTTAGACCCTTCCAGTCCTAGTGGCCACCATCCTAGAGAGCCCTGTTACCACTGACCTCACCCAGCCTGGCCTGTGGCTCCTGGTCTCACCCAGGCTCCAGCCGCACATTTCAAGCAATCTCAGGAAGCCCATGCTTGATCATCTCTATCCTCCCTGCAATCCTCCTTCCCAACCTTCCCTATCCTTAGTCTCAAAGGTAGGGAATGGTCTGGAGCTCTTCCCAGGCCTAGGGCTTTTGTGTCTATCCTTCCTTTGCAGCAGCTTTCAGCATCACATTTGTCTGTCTGTCTCCCAGGAAATAGCATCTGGATTTAACTTCTCAGGGATATATTCTTGCCTTTTTCCTGGAATCAGTCTGTGTCCTGGAGCAGGTTACTTTTTCTCTCTTGGCCCAGTCTCCTAGTAGAAAAATAAGGTGACTAGATGACCCCAAAGAACTCTCACATCTGCACCTACAAGTATATGGCTGGACAGTGCCAGCAACCTGTGATTCTAAGTGTGCTTCGTAAGGAATCTACCTGGCCCTTTCCAATCTGTCTCTCTCCTTCAGGCTCTGCCAGGTCAACCCAGGAGTCTTATGCCCTACGTTACTTCCTATGTGTATTTCCAGTCCTAACTCCATTTCTGCTTTGGAAAAGGAGTGATCTAAGGATTCATTATTCAAACCTAGATTTTTTGTGTAGGGTGGAGGGACAGTACTAAAGTTTGAACTCAGCGCCTATCACTTGATCCATGCCTCCAGTTTGACCTTTTGGTAGTTGATTAGAGATGGAATCTATTGAATTTTTCTACCCAGGCTGGCCTCAAACCTCAATCCTCTAGATCTCAGCCTCCCAAGTACATAGGATTACAGGAATGATCTATGAACATCTGGCTATTTTTTTCCTTGCAAATGAAAATAAGCCATTTAGTTTGGCTAGAGGTGTGGCTCAACATTAGAGTGCCTGTCTGGCAAGCATGTGGCCCTGAGTTTAATTTTCCTGCCAGGATGGGCTTCTCCTTAATCTTACACCTTCTTTTTAGATGGCAGTTGGTAGAAAAATAGATCTGTTGGTACACTGAATTTGGACCCCATCATTTTCTCAACTGAATATAAACAATCACACATCTCATTTTGTTCTTGTACATCTGGCAGCAGCTGCTTCCAATTTGGTGGGTGAGAGCAGCTCCAGCCAGGGTCCCCTGGCAGGAGTTTTGTAGGACTAAATGAGGCCATCAGCTGAAGGGCCTTCTGACTGTCCTTGGGTAGGCTGGAAAAGCAAATGCAATGCAAGGGGGACTGTGGCCCTTGCTGGGGAAAGCCGTCCTAGGTCAAGCGCTAGTGCTGAGGGAACTTTGGCTGGTGTGTTATCCCTGAAGCCAGACAGTAGAACAGGGAGGCTCTGAGCAAGTCTTCCCCCACCCCCAATGAGGCTAAGCAGAATGGTCTCCACTCTGCAGCTCAAAAAGCTCAGGTGTC